ACTCTACCAGAGCTCCTTTATTTTATATACTGTTTTTTAGTAACGCTGAGTCGGTTCTGAATCATAGCTCCGCTGTATAGAGTTATGAGGGAGCTTCAAAAGAATTGGGGGAAAATGAAACTAAAAAATTATGGAATTTTCCACAAATTTTTTTAAACCCCCTCATATGTTCATATAATGTAACCTTCATGTATGCATGACATGAAACAATTATATGAGCAATCCAATCATAGCGACCATGAAGTACAAGAGGAATACCACATCACCAGGCACAAACTGGTCATACAACAGCATGGCTAATGACTAGACCTAACTTTCCATTCATTATTAGAAAATACGGATTTTGAACTCAAATGTTCCAGTTTCAAAAATATTAACTCTAAGCCCAGTTAAATATTCAAATTAAAAGAAAGAAACATTTAAATTGATTTCAACTGAGAGAGACATTTATTGAATTACGGGCTGTCTGTGAAACAACGGATTTGTGTTCATCTAATAACAGGGTCGCTATGGGTCGGAACCGACTGGACAGCACGTAACAACAACAATAAACTAAAAGGAATCCTCCTGTGGCGCTATGAGTTAATGCGCCAGACTGCAAAGCCGTTTGAATTGCAAAGTAGGCGGTTCAATCTCACCAGCTTCTCCTCGGAAACCCTATACAGGGGTCGCTATGGGTCTGAAATGACTCGATGGCACTTATCAACAACAATATCAACAACTAATCTAAAGGTTAGTGGTTCCAATGCACCGAGCAGTGTCACATAAAAAAATCTGGTTATCTGCTTTTATAAAGATGTAGCCAATAAAACCACATGCAGTAGTTCAACTTTGCAACCCTGGAGACTGTCATGAATGCAGATCAATTTAATGGCATAGGTTTTTTCGTCTTTTTAAAAATTAATTTATTATTTTTACTTCTTTGTGTCAACATTTTAAAACAAAAACCATTATTAAGCTGTATTTAAAAATCATCTCTTCTACTTTAGTTTACGGAATTTATATACTTTACTATCAAAATAAGTCTATAATGCTCTGTATAACCAGTAAGAAAGAGTAGATACTGCCAAAAAATATGAATCTGAATGCATGGTCTTACTACAAATGTAAAACGAATTCAGACCAAATCTCCCTTGAATTTTTCAAGTAATCTATTTCTTTTTTTAATATGGAAACTCATTGAACTTTCTATTTCTAACTATGCAACACAAGAAGGGATGGCCCATGCATATTCATTTTATGGAAAGCTATAAATATAAAAACACTGAAAAATATTATTTTCTTCACAGTCCAAATAATCCCTATTCCATAGCCATGGAAATACTAAAATTGAAATAAGTACCTAAAATATTAAGCATTAATTCAAATCAAAGCTAAAATAGATCACTGAACCTTAAGATAAAATCATACATACATTTGAATAATTATAGTTTTGTATTGTTTCTTATTGTAGCGAGTATTTATGCTAATATATCCCAATTTTTTCATATGGCACCCCTTTGATAAAAAAAAATTCACTTAAAACAATGTCATGTTTTATAGATAAATGCTCATGATGTGAACTGATGGCCTTTTAAAATATGCTCTAATCAGCACTAATTTAAGAAATGTGATTTTCTTTACCAGTTTGTTATGTCTTCTACTCTTCACAACAAAATGACCGTGAATTAAATGAAAATTACTGTTCTGTTTCCTTTCCTCATTCTATTATTCCACTGACCCTAAATAACTTTTTAGTTTCTTCCCCTTCACAATGTTATTGATGTTAGGTGCTGTCCATGTCCACTTGGTTCCAACTTGCAGCACAACAGACAGAAACAATGTTCAAGCCTGTGCTCTTCGCACAACTGTTATGTTTGAGCCCACTGTTGCTGCCAAAGTGTCGATACATCTCGTTGGAGGTCTTCCTCTCTTTCTTTTACCCTCCATTTTACCAAGCATGTTGTCCTTTCCCAGGGATTGGTCCTTCCTGACAACATGTGCAAAGCAGGAGGAATGAAGTCTACAGTATGTTTTACAATAAATGTCATCAATTCCACATGTATGTTTATCACCATTTTGATTACATGGATATAAATCTAAGTAAAAGACAGAGACAGAGGGATATATATTCGGTTCTAAGGGCACCCAATTTATATACGTGAACTAACGAGTTAAGGAAACTACAGCAAGTATTTCTTTGAAAAGAAAGGCAAGTAGAATGCCCTGATCAAAGATAAAATGTTGAGTCGAAATGTAGGGTAGAAATAAATAAGCATTTGAAGTTAGCTCTAAGAAAAGTTTAGGAATGATGTAACTTCCTAGCCTAGAATAAAAAAAATATATACTTGCAAGCATTAGAAAGAAGAGAGAAAAGGTTAAACAATGACAACTTAAGAGAATTTTCGGTCTGGCCATCTGCTTACCCTCATATTTATAAAATAAACCTTTTGTCCAAAATTAAAGTACTATCTGTTACATAAAACTTTTTTTCCCCACAATTTGGAAGAACCACCTAGGAGTAACAGCCTATTATTACAATGTTAAAATATTTAAATCTCTCAATGTAAGATCATTTTAACTTGACTTTTAGCAACAGAGTGGGTAGAGTTTTCTAACTACTTGATAGTAACCACTCATCTCATACTCCATAAAAGAATGGAAACCATAAAATTCTTAGAAGAATAGTGAGAATCCTTGGGATCAAGTTTTAACAATGAATTCTTAGATAAGCCACTTAAAGCACAAAGACCAAAAGACAAAATAGATAAATGGAACGTCATCAAAATTTAAAACTTTTTTAAATCAAAAGACTTTATTAATAAATACTCTATAGGTTGTAAGAAAATTTGGGAAATCATATACCAAATAATGGTTTAATATGGAGCCCTGGTGTGGCACTCACTGTAGGATAAACACTGGACTGAGAGGTCAGTTTGAACTGCAAGGTTGGTTGTTCAAACTCACCAGCAACTCCTCAGAAACTCTATACAGGGTTTTTATGCGTCAGAAATGACTCAACAGCACTAAAAACAACAACATGCAGAACACATAAACAACTATTACAGCGTTCATAACAAAAAGACAATTCTATCAAAAAATGAGCAAAGGACTTAACTAACCATTTTACCAAAGAGGATACATAAATGGGCAACAAGCACATGAAAAGTTGTTCAACACCATTAGTTATTACCTATCTACCTATTGTCACTGAGTTAGTTTCAATTCATTGCCACTCTACAGTGCAGAGTACAATTGTTCCATAGGGCTTCACAGACTGTCAACCTTTATGAAAGCTGATTATTGTCTCATCTTTCTATCTCAGAGACTAGTGTGTTTGATCCACCAACCTGGTGGCTAGTAGACCAGTGCTTATCCTGCTAAAACACACATCAAAACCACAATAACATATTGCTTCATACCTACTAGGATAACTATTAATAATAATAATAAACAAAGTTAAACAGGTATTGGTGCAAATGTGGAGAAACTGGAACCCTCATCCCATTGCTGGTGGGACTGTAAAATGGTATAGCCACTTTGGAAAACATTTTGGTAGCTCCTCAAAATGCTAACCATAGCAATTCCAGCCCTAGGTCTAAACCCCAAAGAGTTAAAAGGAAACATGCAGACACTTGTCCCCCAGGGCTCATTGCAACACCATTCACAATAGCCAAAATAGTGGAAACAGCCTAAATGTATGTTCACAGATGCATGCATACACAAAATATAACGGAATACTACATAGCCAGAAAGAGAAATGGAGGTTCAGTACATGCAACAACACAAATGAACCTTGAAAACATTCCAATGAATAAAAAAAGTCAGTCACAAAATGACAAAAATTGTATGGCCCCGACAATCTGAAATATGAAGTCTATATAGATGAACACTTATTAGTGATTACCAGAAGTGACTTGAAAGAAGAGGGAAAGGAGAACTTCTCGAAACTTAGGGGACACTTAGCCTCAGTAAATGATGATGGTATAATTTGGGAGCCGATAGGATAATGGTTGAACAAGAGATACAAAATCAATGTCACTAAACTGTATATGTAAAGACAGTTGAAATGTCAAATGCTTTGCTACATATATATATTGATTAGAATATAAAAATGAAAAAGAAAATTAAAGAGGCAAGGAGATGAGAAATGTAGGTAAATACCAATTCAAGATCTTGTTGTTGTTGTTGTTGTTGTTGTTAAGTGCCGCCGAGTCAGTTCCGACCCATAGCGACCCTGTACAGGGTTTCCGAGGGTGTAAATCTTTACGGGAGTAGAAAGTCTCATCTTTCTCCCGTGGAGCAGCTGGTAGTTTCGAACCGCTGACCTTAAGGTTTGCAGCCCGATTCGTAGCCACTACGCTACCAGAGCTCCTTAATTCAAGATCTTACACATCTAATATTACAAGTTCTAGAAATAAGTAATAGAAAGGAAGGAGTATCAAAGATATAAGAACATTTCCAGCAATGAGAAGGCTTTTACTAGAATAGGCTGTGACAATTGTCTATATTCAGACACAAAGTTCTGAAGTTTATAGTAGCTAGGAGTGGGAAAGAGTAGGGCAGGGGACAGCAGTCACCCATCATCAACCCCCCCTCCTTTGATGTTACTTCATTTTCTAACTATGTATGAATAACATTAAATAATTGATAGACATTAAATTCTAGGCAATATTACTTACTTTCACGTTCAATATTCAGCTAATTATTTCATTCATTATAATGATAAATTATAGCTGAGTACTTATAAGTATGCATATAAAAAGCAAATCGACATATATCTTTAAAACAGTATATTTTCAAACAAAGTCTTCATCTCCTGTACTTTTGAAGTTTACATAATTTATGCTTAAATTTAAAAAAAATTAAATGAAAGTAAAATTAATGTCACAATCATACTGCTGGATTTCTCTTTAGGCCTTGCCAAAGCTGCAACCACTGCATGAATATATAGCTTGAGAAAAATGCATTTAAACCACCAGAAACAGAGCCTGCAGGACTAATAAAATTCCCATGATTACCTGTGGTGGGGTCCGTGACTGCCTGACTGGTGATGCCAGATGGTGGTTCTTGAAGCTGGTAAGTGGCATTTGTGGACGGTGTTGTTGGGCTGGTGTTGCTGCTTGTCATATAATGTGATGGGTATGGTGAACTGTTATAATACTGTGCATACTGACCCTGGCCAAAACTGGGATACGATGGGTAGTCCTACCAAATCAAACCAGACAAATTAGTCAGACACTGCTACTTACTTACATGTTTCAAAATATATTTGTAAAAAAGGTGATTGTGTTCTGGGTCTTCTCCAAGTTCTTCCAGGGGTCACATAAGCAAACACTGGACTGAAATGCCCAGACTTGCAAACATGAATTTTATGGAAGATTAGAAATAGTTTTCACATTTCTTCTATTCCATGATGCATTGCTAGGTACAACTAAACCAATCTAAAAACCAAAGTTCCTCTATAGAAGACTGCTAAAGAAAAACAAACAAACAAACAAAAACTGTAAAAGGCTTACGAAAATACCTACTTAGGGTGAAATATAAACATATTTCCTTATAAGAGAAAGTTTTCTGTTGCATTTAAAAATATTTCAGAAGTTAAATTGGCTTTTAAATTACCTGCTGTGAACTGTTAAAACCAGAGGAATTTGTCAGTGAATTATTTCCTGTATATAATCCTGATGATGTTGTAAAACTGCTACCTAAAACAAGATGAAAAAGAAATTGTGGTTTACTAAATTCCACAGAATAATGTGGCTATAGAAAAATATAATTTTAATATAGTTCACTTCAAATACATATGATTTATCCTTAATATTATAGTACGTTGACTAAAGTCATGGGTAAAACTTTATTTCCTTAAAATGTCTGACGATTTTACCTTCACATAGAACACTGACTAAAGACATGGATAAAAGTTTATTTCCTTAAAATGTCTGACGATTTTACCTTCACTCTATTACACACAATTAAACAGCAAAAGGTTTAAATTTCAGAAGACATGAGTGAGTCATATAAACTAATGACAAAATCATGCATTTGTATAAAAATATTAGACATTTACTTTCGTTTTCAGTTTGTAAAACATACCAAGAGTTTTCATATCTTTACATAAAACACATTTCATGTAATATGGTAGAATCAGATGAGAAGATCTATAAGGTTTTTTTCTAGCTTAAAAATTATGCTATTTCCAAAAAATGTTTTCACTTGTACTATATATATGGTCATTATAATGAGCCACTGAAATAGCTATTTCATTATTTCATTTCACAGCAGAATGGATTACAGCACTTGAAGAATTTGATACAACAACGATCAGAGAGGAATGTGAGCAATGTTTTATCAAATCCATGTGCTGTCTAGCTGTCTAGCTAGTATTCTATTTGTTGAATATCTAGTATGTGTTCAACAATAAAGAAGACACACTGTGGAGACTACAATATATGAGCAACTCTTAGTTCTCTTCTTCCCATTCTTTACATTATTTCAATACTGCTAAATTGGAGTTTTCTGATGAGTTACTTGGCCAGTGATTGAGAAATTTTGTATACCATTTAATCCAGAAATTTTACAGCTAAGAGTTTACTCTAAGTGTGTATGTGTCTGTGTGGGTGGTGTGTGGGGGTGTATGCATTTTTCCTGTTGTTGTTGTTGTTCAGTGCTGTTGAGTCCGTTCCGATTCATAGTGAGCCTCGTAGCACTGGTAGCGTTGTGGTTACGAATCGGGCTGCGAACCTTAAGGTCAGAGGTTTGAAACTACCAGCTGCTCCGCGGGAGAAAGATGAGGCTTTCTACTCCCGTAAAGATTTACACCCTCGGAAATCCTATACAGGGTCGCTATGGGTCGGAACCGACTTGATGGCACATAACAACAACAACAACATAGCTTTTCTGAGGAATGGCTGGTAGGTTTGAACCACCAAACTTGAGGTTAGCAGTCCAGTGCTTATATACAGTGCCACATCAGGACTCCATGGATTGCTAGAAAGATGTTCTTCAGCAATGTTTCTAATAGCAAAACTCAGACAACATCCCACAGTCCTTCATGGGTGTTATTCATACAATGAAATATTATAATGCTGTTGAAATAACATACAGATGTTTAATGACATGGGACCAGTTTTCTATACTAGCCAAAATATAAAAGCCAAAATATTAGGGGGTTAATGGTGATGAAACAATTGCACTGAAATGGTAGGGTTCTGCAGCTGATTACTACAATTGTCAATAGGTTGTATGCCTGTAAAAAGCTGAATTGGCAAAAGTTGTGTGATATTGTTACAACAATAAAAGAGAGGGAGAGAGAAACTGAATTTAGCTGCTGAGGCTTCTTATATATGACCCTAAACTTCATGGTATTTGATTCCTTGGTTTGGAGGTTTAGGGTCATGGCTTCAGAGGTCATTGCAGTTAATTGGCCTAATGTATTTAGTGCTTCTGTTCTACCTCTTGGTTCATCCAGTAGTGTCTGAGGTCTTAAAAGCTTACAAACTATCATGTTAGACACAATTGACCTTTATACACTGGCAACAATAGAGGAAGGAAAATCCGGAATAGCAGGAGGATATGAAATGTGTGGTTAATTGTCTCTATGAACCACTGCCACTTTTGCCATGAGATCAGCAGAAATGGAAGGTACCCAGCTACCATTGCTGAACATTTTGTTCAGAGATTCTATGAGGAATCCTGATCAAAAGGGGGGAAATGAAGAACAGAATTTGACAGAACAGTCTCATGGACTCTATACTTTGTAGATCTACAAAGGATGGATAAACCCCCAAACTATTGCTCTGATATAATATTTAAACCTTAACCAAAAAAAACCTCCTTTAGTCCTTCTTAAAATGGAATAATAGTAATTTAATTAGGTCTTTTGTGCAGTGAATTATCTAATGTTTCATCTAGCCATAGGCTGTAACTCCCATCAAACAACATTTCTGCCCAGCTGGTCTGGGTAAGAGAAGGTGGGAGAAGGTACTGATAGGTTGGCATGACTCAGTTGTGAATGCTAGCAGACTTAATTGTTCTGTAAAAACGTGAAACTCTAACATGGATGTGAAACGAACCGTTTCAGAAGCAGGAGGTGGGAACCTCACTACTATCAAATAACATAACTCGATGGACATTATTAATATCACTGACTTGTACTTGGAGAAACTGTTGAATGAGTTCTCAACAACAAGATATATACAAAACTTTAAAATACTAAAATTACAAAAACGTATTTGGATATCATGTTTAAAACTATTTTTGAAGTGCAAGAATTTTTTTTTTTTTTTTTTTTTGAAAGCATAGCATCTCACAGATACCATATCTGGAGGAGTACATCTTTCATCACATAATTTACATTAAATCAATTGTACATTTCTAAGTCTTCTACTCAGACCCATTGTTGTTTTTGCAATTACAAATGAAAGGAAGTGTTTTTTCAATCAAAAATTTTATGGCAAATAATAGTACAGACAAAACATATTTATTGTAGAAGTTTGAGAAAGAACTCTTCAGTATGAAACAGTTCTTCACAGACAAGTTCAAGCACGACATTTTGTAGTTAACATATTCTAATTATTTGCTTGCTACTGAATATTTAAGGATGGGCTCCAAAGTCAAAAGACAGATTAATTACTTATAAACTCTTTGGGTTTTATTCAGTCTAAACTAAGTCTAGAACATAGTTTCCTTATCTGAGAAAACCTTACTTCATAAGATTCTTAAACAGCTCCAGTGAGATAATGTTTTGGAAAATAGAATGAGCACTGCACTGTATTGTGCAAATATTAGATATTGCTATCGTCCAAAATTCCGTACCGCACTTAGGTATCTTTTCCCTTTTTTCACATTCCCAAATTAGAAAAATATCTAACATTCTTGCCCTACTTACTAATCAAACATCTCAGAACTCTGAAAACCTTGCAGAGATTTGTTACTTTTATTAAGAAGGCTAATATTTCCTGTGATTGTTTCAAATGTTGTTGTCTAGCATGAACTCTATTTTGAGGGTTCTTCATTTGAGTATTTCCAGTGTATCAACCATTTAGAGTTCCCAGAACACTTATCACAGAGAAGCCAAATTCTCATATTCACAATTTATTCCACCTTGAGCTCTGAAGCCTCAATGAAGAAGCTTCTCATATTCATACTCATTTGATTTGATCTTCAAATACATACCAAATATCTATTAAATATCAACTTATGGTTATAACTACATGGGGCTAAAAAGATTACTAAGACATAACTCAGACTTCAAAGAACTTATCAGAATGACATTAGTTTTCTTTTTTTTTTTTCTAATTAAATCCCAGGAGTTATGACTCACCCCGTATATAGTTGTGTATCAATGAACAATTAATATTGATGTTAAATGTAAAGCAAACATAAAGAATATTTAAAAACCTCTTATAACATAAAAATTTACATTTCTTTGTGGTTAAGGGCTTAAAGATCAATAAAGTTGTTTAAAAAAAAAAAAAAAAAACTTATCTATTATACGCATTTAACCATAAAATTGAATTCAGTTTATGACTTATTACTTTCATTTAAACTACGACACATTCCTGCACTATAAATACTGACCTCAATAATCCCTATTCACCAAGAAAATGCATAAAATAGAGAAAATATGTTTTTCAAATGGATGTTTCCACTGCATAAGTCATTCCCTGGAACAAAGTAGGGAAGACAATGGAACCTATATTAACACATATAAGCCACAAGGGTATGACCAAGTAAATCACAGTTCAGGTCTCCAATGATACCCAAGTGACCTTCCAGACTTAATGCTACTTCTAAAGCTATACATTAGCTGGAATTCAACATAAGTTATACTCATTTGCTAGCTGCCTGAAGGTTGAGATTCCATTCTACTTAGTATGTTGCAGCAGGCATTTAATGGTTCCCCAGTGACCCGGAGACTTAATACAACTTCCAAAAGGATCCAACTTACTTTGGGGAGAGGTGTTTGCACTAAAGAATCAGATTTAGGCAATATTAATTGTCACCACCCAAATCGTATTTGTAGGGCCGTTCTCCACCTGCCTTCCCATGGGACTTAAGTCAACATAGCTGGTAAAGATTTAGGCTATCAGCATCTACCACTTGGATTACTGCAACTCAGTGCCTCCTTTATTGCTTTTCTGCTCACCCTTCTGCCATTCTGTTCATCACATGTGAGCAGAACCACCTTTCTAATGCCCCTATATGGTTCTGTCAATCCCCTGATTTAAAAAGTAACCTTTAATGACTCCCTAACACTTTCAGAGTAAAATTCAAAGTCCTCAGCAGGGCTTACATATTACGTCCTATGTGGTCCAGACTCTATTTATCTCATGAGATTCTTTGGTTCCTTCCCAGTAACATCAACTCCAATTCACCCACATACATATTCTATCCTAACAGTATTAAGCTATTATGTTGTTGTTGTTGTTGTTAAGTGCCATCAAGTCGGTTCTGAACCATAGCAACTCTGTATAGGGTTTCCAAGGAGCAGCTGGTGAGCTTGAACTGTTGACCTTCCATTTCAAATGACTTTGCAATCGGGTGCAACCACCCACAGCGCCATCCCAAGACTCCAGTATGCTATTACTCAGTTCTCCTATTGGTAGTCTTTGCACTGGTTACTTCCTCCTGTCCTGTCCTCACTAACTTCTACTTAACTTCCCATATATCAGCATAGACAAGAAATCCTCTTCCCCAGAAAAGC